TGAGGAAGAAATGAAAGCTTGTGGGCAGTCGTGTAGCAAGGTCCAAAAGGCTGCAGAGAATAGAGTGGAATGGAGACGTGCTACTGAATCCCTATGTTCTACTAGGAACCCAAGGGACTAATAATAACTAATGATATAATCAATACATTTCACCGTTTAGGTAAGGAAAAGGAACATCTTGTCAGATACAATGTCTAAGAACAGTTTCCTTTTGATTCACGAAACAACTAAAAGTGGATACTTTTCAGAATGTAATAACAAGTATTGTGCTACAAACTAAGGGAAGCCAGAGTCTAAATAAACCGTGTAAAAATGATTTAGCGTGCATCACTGGTGTTATTACATCCAATCCATATCCGAAAATATTAGATATCTGAAAGAAAAAAAGCAAATTCAATAAGTGAGACAGCTGAGTAGATACACTGAAGAAAAATATATATAATGCAAGCTCTGTGAAAGACTCAATTTTTAACGTATTTCAACCAATGGTTTGTAGATTAACAACAAAGATTTGTGACAGTTTGCCTGCCAAACCGGTCGCAAATACGGTTCAGTTTATTCACTGTATGAATACGAAACAAATAGCTAGGTGACTATGATTATACCCAATACCCAACCGAACTTCATCCTAGTCTGATACAACTAGAATTAGATCAGTAGCAGACTGATGATCGAAATGTTTAGAGTGAATTTAGACACCATTCTAACAACTACTGGAACAACCAATTAAGTTTCTCTATCCTATGAAAAACTGCCTCAGCCAAAATACTGCAACCTGATTGGTCACTTCAGTAGTTGCTAGGGTGGCTTTTAAAGCCACACAGACGTTTATAAAAACTAAATTTGAATCTCCCAGTAAAATATAGCCGAGGTTATCCGAAAATTCGCATCAAAAAAACTTTTACTGTTAATAAAGAATAGAATCAGGTAGTAATGTGGGAAAACGATTTACAATTGCATCAATGGATGTTGCGTAGATATTTTCATAGGACATAAGACATTATTATCCATGATTAACGGAATACCGGAAACTAATAGATTAGACGACATTACAGATTATTTCCAGTACATAAAGTATTTATGCACAGGATGGAAACCCATTTAAAATATCCTAGGAGATATTCTGTCTAGACATTTCTCCACTATCAGGTGGAATCACTTACCGATGTAAGGCCAGTTAGATCTTGTATACCTGAAATGAAAATTCTATTCAAGTTTGACACAGATTACTTCGAAGACAACGCATTGAACAAAGGCTCTGAATCGGTTTTTCATAAGCTGAGACAATGAGAATGAGATTACCAGATAGTTTATCATGTCCTATTTTTGTAATATCGGAATACCTGAGGAATATAAGAACGTTTACTTTCCGGCTACATGCTGGTTAGATAGTTTATAAAACCAAGAGTACTACTTCTCACTAATTAATTAGTGCATACCTCTTGAACAGCATAGCCTTAATTTTTAAGTTTTTAACCAGATGACCTATTCAATGAATCATTAGAGTTCCGTTAGCTGTGGTATTTTACTGATCGATATTCTAGTTCAATAACTACCAAGCATGCATCATTGGTATGATAAACGGAGCACAGACACGCTAAATAAATGTTGTGTAGATAGACGAACATATCAAAAGGTAAGGAAGAGTGTAGGTAAGACACATCGTAAGAACACTATAAACGATAAACTTCAAACTAAGTAAATAGCTGTTTTCAAAAAAGTTGTTAAAATTAATCACTCCTGAAAATCAGTGACAATGCTTTCCGCTTGCATATATTCAATCAGACTAGGCATTAGACAAAAATAGATTAAAGATGAGTGCTTAGTGTTAATTTTCAAAGCTCAATTCTTATCGATTTTTGAAGGCAAATACTGACCAATCATATTACAGATTGATGTGTTCTAAATAAACATAGATACTAAACAGATCAAAAAGTGTGTCGTGATGATTACTTTACCTTTGCTTATATAGCCATTATTCAGTGCATTTGGTGAATTTATGGTATTTTATTTTCCATTCTAAACACCACAAAGTTGTGAAGAGAAAGTCGTTAGAAGTGGAGGCGGTAATTTATTTCAACTAACTGAGCAAACCAATAGTATGTTAACTAAAACAAGAAGTAACACAACGATCCCACTGTGAGCCCAAACACACTGGCACTTTACTATGTCGCCACAACACTAAGTTAACTAATGTATAGAAATCCAGTTCATTGGTGAGATTCTTGCAACCTTGTTGTCTGCATAGAGGTATATCAGAAATATTGCAAGGTAAAGTGAAGATGACTTCTGTAATCTGCTAAGAGAACCGACATGCAAAAAATATTTTCGTTAGCAAAACCAAGATATTGAGGTGAATGCTTGTTTTGTCTGCATATTCTTTCACGTCAACATTTTAATTACTACTAGGACTGATAACGACATTCACCAGACTGTAATTAGGCATAACAGTGAGCTCTGAGACTTTCCAACGTTTTATTGCGCTACTTTTTTATTACTGTCTGTACAGTACAACAATTATCTGAATAATTTTTCGCCGTAAGTATTGATCACATTTGATGTAAAATAGGTGAAGGCCTGAATTGTACCATATCTATGAGTCGAGCCTACCGCACTGTTACATTCTTAGCTTGATGGGATGAAAGAGATGTGCGAGTTAACATGTATGAACTGATCTGACTACTGCCACCTTCACGCCAGCTGACTTAGTGAGAAGGGCTGACTTTAAAGGCCATCCTAGCAACTGATGAGTACTTTCTCAAGCGAAATGTGGAAACCTGATCAGTCTATTTGGTAGTTACTAGGGTGACCATTAAAATCACTCTAAATTCGCCACCTGAGTAACTTCAAGGGCTACCCTGGCAACTGTTAGCACACCAATCAGGCTTTGATATTTCGCTTGGGAAAGTACTTTTCCACTAAATAAAGGGATGTAATTAATTGGCTGTCTCGTCAGTTGCTAGGGTGGCTTTCAAACTCACCCCGAATTTGGGAATCACGTTAGTGCGACTTTAAAGGTCACCCTTACAACAACTGAAATAACCAATCAGCCTTCTTTATTTATGGAAATCTGTCTTTCTAGTTGAAATGGAGAAGTCTAATTGGTTATTTCGATCGATGCTAGCGTGGCTTTTAAAGTTCCCCAATCCAAATGGCTACTACACACAATACAGGATTATTTGTATCTAGCACAATGTGTGGGAAGCGTCAAGGCCTTAAAGCGTAGGGGGCCTAATTACTATGGGAAAGAATGAGAATGAAGACAGACATACAATGGACATTCGAAGACGATTGGTTGTGGCTCTCTTTCCTTCTAGCTGCGGACAGAACACGTACGTTAAAGTGCTAGCTTAACTATCTACCGCAAAAAAGCAACACAGTAATATTACTTAAATCCATGAAGCACGTAAAGAGCATTGACACAACCTCAACGGCCAGACATCCTGATAACTAAAGCGTGATTCAAGTCTGCAAGTAACGGAAATTTAAGTACGTAAACCATTGAGCTACAGTTTACCCTAAGAGTACACCTTGTATATTATCATCTTTTACAAAGTAGTACTACTATCATTTATGTGGAAAAACGCGAATTCAGGAGTGAGCACATGAATTACCGATTAAAAAGTCTGTTGTTGTTCTCGTCCCAAATGCGTTAGTGAATCATCAGTGTCTTTTAGTGGGAGAGGCTACTAATCAAGGGAAGTGAACAATAAACCACGGATAACAACATGGTTGCTGAAGTCTAAGTTCTTCGGATATTTACGTCTCCTTTACAGTTACTCTCTGATTTTATTTTACTTTTCTATTTGTGGCAAATTACACCGCTGCATCTTTTTGTTACCATAGTATTCGAGTAGGGTGAGGGGTCATACACATGTTACTACATAGAGATGGAAATTTTAACGGTATATTTACTAATTAGATGTAAGTAGTTCTTGCCTGTTACTCTAAGTTGAAGTTAATACGATTAGAGGGTGTAACTCATCAGTTTGCACGGAGCCTAGTATCCAGAATACAAAGATCTTAACCAATCTTAGGAAGATTAAGATACGAAGGATGACAGACATGATAAAATAAAGAATACTGAACTTAACAATACTTAACTGCGGGGCTTAGAAACAGAATGGTTCTATGAAATCCTATCCATTGGAAACCTACTTACCCTTCAAAATAGCCTACCTGATTACCTGAACCTCACTCCGACAGAGGTAATAATAATAATAAAACCCACTCATTTTCGTGTTTTTCAGTATACAAATTTGTTATTCCTTTGGTATGCTTTACTACTGGCTAAGCCAATGAAGTTCATGTAAAATTTCATGGATTTCTCAAAGACAACATGTCTTCTCACACTGGATTTTGCTGAAGCAGTCAGCTGATGCCTTTAAATCAAATCACTTTGATTTATGTAGAGGTTGGATGTTTTAATGGGTTTCTGCATATCATTTATGTATTATTACAACAAAGCTACACGCTAACGCTAAACGTATTTATGTCGGAAAGCGTAGATTATGGTTGCATCGATAACAGCCTTCAGATTGTAACGCGTTACATTTTCAATGCGAAGTTTTCGTTAGGAGAGAAACGATAATATTTTTAAGCTGAACACGATAGGTTATCTTACGTGAGTTTGTAGACAAATATATACATATATGAAACCACCCTAACAATTACCAATATCAAATCCACGTAATCATGATAATAGATTGGCTAAGGATAATAACGCCAGATTATTATACAATCTAATTGCTAGAATTTTTTTGGTCAACACTCTTTAGCACAATAACTAACTATATGACAGACGATTTCAATTCATATACGCATGTGTAGACAGCAACAATGAGCAAAAACAAACCAGTGTACAAAAGCATAAAAAAATGATTGTCTTAGTATTGATAGCAGTTTGTACAAAAATATACATATATATATATATATATATATATATATATATATATATATATATATATATATATATATATATATATGAAAATAATAAAGTAACAAGGTGTAAAAAATATTTAAAAATATCAAACAAACAATAGAACAATGCAAAATTGAAAACAAAGTGGATTTTCATCGACAACTAACTTGGCTACGCTGATGAAAGATGAAAGTATTGATATGAGCGAATGTTTTTGAGACAAATAAAGATATTACCTTTAGGAGTTTATGCTAGTACAAGGTTGGTGAGATGGTGTACACAACTCAGGTTTTTCATGTTCTTCAGAATCAACAAGGCATATTTTAATCTTCATGTCATTTTCATCTTTCTTGACTGCAATTTCTGAAACGCCAATATTATTACTACTGTCATTATTGCTATTATTATTATTATTACTATTATTGTTATTATTATTACCATTATTATTGGTGGTAGCAGTAGTAGTAGTGGTAGTAGTAATAATAGTGGTAATGGTATTGGTAGTAGCAGTAGTAGTATTAATAGTGGAGTCCTGGCATAACATTTGTACTTGTTCAGCACTACCACTATTACTGTGTTTATTGATTTGATCAAGATAATCTAGACATTCAGCTGAACTTAATTTCACTGTAAGATTTGTACGCGGATCACAACCGGGATGTGTCAGTTCAATATGACGAACTAGATGATCTTTACGGTAATATGATTTATCACAGATTTTGCAAACAAACGGTTTGAAACCAACGTGACGAAGGGAATGACGTTGAAGATTTGAGCGTTGAGTAAATTGGGCGCCGCATATGGTACATCGAAATGATTTATGTACCGCAAAAGTGTGTTCACACAATAAACTTAGTGATGTGAATGGCTTTCGACACTGATTACAAACAAATGACTTAGCATATCGACGATTAAGGAGATTTGATTCTTCTGAAGAATTCGACGTTTCTTTCGTATGACTTTTTGAAGGTGAATTAAGTGAAGTAGTATTTCTCAACCGCGATGAAATAATCGTCTGTAAGTTGCAATTATTGGCACTATTACTATTATTATTGTTATTAGTACTAACAGAACGGGCAACTGGTTGTTTATCGGTGCATATTCGAGGTAGGATAGGACGGGGGACGGTTGAAAGGACTGTAACAGGTAAAGAGAAAACACTTACATGGGGAAGCAGTGTAACAGCAGATACAGGCAGAAACAGACCATTAGCTGCAGCACTTTTTATTGGTGCTACAGCTTCAGTGACTGGCTTTTGAAGGCTTTGAATTGGAACAGAAGGCAAATTCAGTGATGTGTTAGGTGTATCAGGAGAAGGTTCAACGCTGTCCAAAACAAATGAGGAGTTTTGGGGTATTTTACACGGTCGACTTAGTTTTCGTTTGCGGCGTGAGGTAGAAAAGTTGTAATCTTTTAAATCATGATCTTCTGTTTTGATCGGTGAATTCATAGCTGTAGATGTATCCATAATTATCCCTGAGTCGAAGAAATCATGATTAGGACTATCATCATGTTCGAAAAACGGATGATCATTTGTTTTATCATACTTTTGATTAACAAGTAAGCATTTCATCTTCTCATGATCAGCCTGATAAACAACAAGAGCTTGAAGTTTCAGTGATTTTGAAAATGGAGGAAGAACATGTTCAATTAAAAGTTTTGCAAGCTTTTTCTCCTCTTCAGTAGGTTCACGTTTGTGAACAGAACTTGATGTGTCTGTTTGGGTTACTGGAAGCGAGAAATCATCTAAAAAGTCCATTTTGTCAATATACAAAGTAACCAACTACTAAAGAGAAAAAAAAGGGAAAACTGTTTTATGAAAGATGACTGAAAGTCATCATCGTATGTTTTAACAAGTTTCAACAGTAAAACGTCAACGGGAAAAACGAGTGGTGTGATTCTAAATAAAATAAATCTAAATTAGGTTTCATATTTCAAGCTTTCCTAGTTGCATTCTCAGATCGTAAGAGGCTGACGATGCTATCATCGACCTAGGTCACTTACTCATGAAAAATCCCAATTTACAGTACTTTTGGGGCGACTTTAAAGTTCCCCCTAGCGACAACTGAAATAACTAACTAGACTTCTGTGTTTTATGAAAATCTGCCTTTCCAGTTGAAATGGAGAAGTCTAATTGGTTATTTCGACTGTTGCTAGGGTGGCCTTTAAATCCGCCCGCACTTTTGTATAGTTTAAGTGAATGTACACACATATACATGAAATCAATTACATGTGTCTACCGAAAATCAAGAGTCTGTATTCACCTTAACTTGATTTACACGCCTTATAAGTCCATAAGACTGAAACAATGAGGTTTACTCTTGGTTGAATATCAACATATAGTCGTCTTCCTTCCTTTATTCCTTCATAGGATACAGTCCATTAACAGAACAATTACAAAGTAAGTGGTTCATTTATTCAATGTTTCGTCTAAAAGTACATGAAATGTAAAGGTAAGACAAACAGGAATACAACAATAACTAATGATTAATGATGGATAACAGCTAGCAACGGAGTTCAGGACGCGAGTTTTGCTCCATTTGAACTCAGCTAGATGTGCCTGCCTTCCAGTAAGTGGTGTTGTTCCCACTAAGACTCGAACTCTAGACCGATCGCTTCAGATACCGTGTTATCCACTAGGCCACCAAGTCGCGATAGCCAAGTGGGACGAGTAAAATACAAGTAACAACATCCATAGCTAAAGATGTTATTTAACCTGAAGATGTCAATTAACCTTCCATTGGACAAAATAACGATTTTCAATTCTGTCCTAAAATATAGGTACCCATAGCGGTGACAGGATTTTTGATTATGAAAGCTTGTCAGACGGAAATGACTAGTATAGGCAAGTGCATCTACAAAGTTGAGACATCGAAGTTAGTAGCTGTTTGGTGTTTTCCGATCTCTGAGCTATGTTCTAGGATGTTTCATTAGCACTTACTTCTATATGAAGTCTCCTAAAGATGCAACTTCCACGAAAAAACCTCAAAGGTCATAGAACATCAAACAATAATTATTCTCATACTAAACTACAAATCTCTTATTTTAGTTATTTTAACGATTTGTAATCCTTCTCTTGGTCAGACCCTATCTTCTCATTTTCTCTTTTTTGTTGAATGCAGAAAGCATGGAAAGTAGTAACTACTATCTCAGCAATACAGAAAGTCATGGTAGTTGCTGAATAATAATCGCCTCATAATGAGGTTAAGCATCCTATAAGTAGTTCCATAACTTGAGTTATACCACTTATTTTCAAGCCCAACATACTACTTTCCTGAGGCACTTTTAGATAGCAGACTTTACTAACTAGATATTCAGAAAAGCCGCTTATACACAGATAATCAAATAAACTAACACCTTAAAAATATAGTTCTTTGCAGGAGAGTATCTGAAAATAGAAACTAGACAGCTACGCAGTAATACTTAAAAAGTTAATGTTGCCAAAAAGTAAAAGTATGAAACCCGACTGCTGACCAGATTTTTCAGTTCAATCACCAAGAATTTGGCTGACTACCATGTGAATTTCCTGCGCCCTACGACTGCTTGATACTACTCACACTAGCTACCCAGTCAGGACTTATCATCCCATTCCAAATCTACTGGATTTAGACAAAGGGAGCACCATATTGATTATCAGTTTGACTGAGATAACTGTGGTTTGGCAGACTAGTAGTGACACTGGTTGATGATTAAAGGTGAAGTAAAAGTCCGGGCCGGGGCACGATTCGAGCCAGAGACCTCCGGGTTACCTGCCCGGTGCTCTACCAACTGAGCTACGAGATCCGACTGCTCAATAGATTTTTGTTTCACTTCAACCACTGACTACCACATGAGTCGTGGCGCATTACTATCGCTTGATTGTACTAATGGGTCGGAAATCCGCCGAATGCTGGTTCGAATCCTGTAGCCTTCACCTTCAATCATCGCTGAGTGTCAGTACTAGTCTGCCAAACCACGGCTATCTCAGATAGTCAAACTGATAAAAAATAAAGGTTTAAGACAACTGGTTCACAAGATAGGCTGTACACCAACCAAAAACCACGACTGGAACAACTTGGAAAACTGATCACGCAACCCAGTAGCTTGAGACGCTATCAGATACGGCTCAGAATCGAAACCAGTGGTTGTCATGCCGTAGCTTCCTCCTACCTTCTGCTTCTGAAAAGCTATGTGCTTTGTTTTTAATGTATCTTACTGGATTGCCCTTCTAATCATGCTACTATCGTTTTCCCTTCTTACTTATTCACTTCCCATCGTTTACGTCTCCGCATTGTTGTACTATTTTGTGTGGCACATTTCTTGGTGCCATTGCTGTACCATGTTTGTGTCCTAATAATAGCAGCAGAGAAAGTACACGGGTGAATTGACTCAAACGTTTCATTTAATCTTGGCTGTGTTGTATTCTCCGAGCTGGGTGGTATAATCGTGAAGCTTTCATTGTTTTTCTAAACATCAGCACTAACTTCAATATAAAGTGGGCTGTCAATATTTCTCTCTGAGGGATTCATTTAGGTGTGTCGGTTTAAGTTACACAATTTACAATACATAAAGGAGGAAGAGAACGGAAGGACAATATTAAAGTATGTGGAGAGAGAATAATTAAATGAAGATTAATGGAAATATTTAAAATCTTGATGATAAGAAATGAATACATCTGTACTACTATAGTTGGTTCCCAAACATCACTGAGGTCCTCCGGCCGACGATTCCTAGCACCTTGAGGATTGTTAACATGTGACTTACACTTCCTGACACACAACATGCCTACATTCCATGACTTTATCGTTTGTTGATGTATCTTAATCAGGGAGCTATAACCTTTGCTCTCACTTGATCCTACTTCAGTTTATGTCAAGCGATAACGTGGAAGATGGTTCACCATGTGCGATAATTGGTCAAGTCACTGTGGTTAGTGCGGGCTCACAACTGACTTACCTTCCTTGAGTTGGGTACCGCACGTCTACTCTCACCCCAAGGTTTAGTCACACACACAGAGATGCGCTTCGGAGACACTTTCGGCAAAGTATCTACGATCCCCATGACTGTTCACCATCGATAGCCACCTCTCACGGTCGAATAGTAGGGCACCATGGGTTGGGATGCCGTATAATTCCTTGGCTAGTAACAGGGTATCTCACCAGCCACAATGTTGGGACAAGTTGGCAAAGACCTAGAGAGCCTTTTAATGTTCAAGCTGAGATTTCATTAACAATAGACTTTGGCATTAACATAGGAATAGGTTGGTAAATTCGACCGCTACACTCCCATCTTCAAACAGGAAGTTAGTGCAAACCAACCTAAGAGTGAGAGTCAACGTGGACAGTCAAAAATAAAAACGACATGAAGTTGGAGAGGAACTGGTATGGAGGATTTACCTCTTTGATCACATTATTCTACATCCAGGGGCTGTAAATAATACGGAGAACTTCCCATTTAAACAGTTAATCAGTTAAACAGTATAATCTACTATGTAAGGCAACTGCATTACACTTATTCACATTATCATGAAGTACTAACATATAGCAAAACGAGAAACTGACTAGGAGCTCATGGTATGACAGAGTGTAAATAAAAAGCTATAAGTAATTTATCAATATTTTGAGCCATAGAATCATCATTGATAACAAAGTTAGTCAAGCTTCAGTGAATAACTTACGGATGACTCAAAAAGTATTCCAAAAATGAATGCTGACGAAGGAACTATATCCACTCGGTAATAATTTTCCACTGGTATTAAGCAACCACTGGGTGCATTAAGATAGGACCGACCATTAGATTGATTTCAGTTTGTCAGGGATAGAAATATAGATGGTCAATATACTCTATACTTTTAAGATATGCCCACGCAGGGCTTGTATTGATTGTAACATTTGACTAAAAAGACACATTGAGATTGGGCGCAAGCATATTATTTTGTCCAATCAGAAAAAAGTCAAAGCAAGCCTAGCCCTGAGGTCAGTTATTTACTTTAAGCTCATTGGTGGGATGGTCAGGCGGGATGTTAGGCTCCTCCAATCAGAACATTCGGCTGTCTGTGCTGTTTCTATGCTTTCAAAACACGTTGTGTTTTTACACAACCTCTAATTTATCTTTTGTTTGGGTTTGATTATATCGGTTTTTCCTCCTAGTTTTTGGTTTGTTCTCATAGTAGATTTTAAATTCTGGTCACGTATAAAGCATACACTATAACCAGTAAAAGAGACTACATCTTTATTTTCACTTATTCGTTTCGTGCATCACCTGGTAGTCACTAGCTCTTCTACTTTAAAAGTCGGATGTGAAAAAAATTCCCAAGATGTGCTTTTGATTTTATCTGTACGGAATTCTCTGTTACGATTGCTTCAGGCGTACATGTGGCAGATTTACATTTTATACACAGTAAAGTGCATACTACAGTTCAGGCAACTTTCAAAACATATCATCTCCTTTCCAATAGTTCAAAGGAGTAGCTCATTTGCATATTATTCATTATCACGAAAGTAATCGATTAATAGGATTTATGAAAAGTGCCGAATTCTGTCGCGTCGGTAAGCTCAAGATAAAATCCATGTAAAATCTTGTAGAGTACACAGAATATTTGTAAAAATAAAATAAAAATAGGCGTCAGAGTATTCTGATCCCTCTCATTTATTTCAACATTATCTCCTTAATTTCAACACTTCGGAATTCTTTACTTAAAAAATAGTTTCTAAGATGTTGGTTGATGACTGACTGATTTTTCGGCTAATAAAGTATTTATGAAGGTGGCAAAACGAATTCACACTGATATGCTTACACTGTAAAAAAACTAGACAGGATATATCAAGCGGTCATTGTCGACAAGGAGCTTGGGATTACTTTGTTACTGTCAACTTTGACACATCTCATATCAGCACATCAGGCGAGAATGCATGGAGATGAAAAACAAAGGAATAGGGAAGAAAGCAGTCAAAGTGGTAGGACCTTGTGAGAAGAAAACTAGAAGGGATGAGACAGTTATATTCAGTATGACGATTACGATTAGTAGGATATAAGGTTGAATCCAACACCAACGTCAAGTCAGTGCTTCTGTATGGCTCAGAGACTTGGCACGTTACGAAAGGGATTTCCAATAAACTACAGACATTCATCAACAACTGTCTACGCTGGCTCGTTACTGAAGCTCAGATGGCCAGAATAGTAACTATAAGCAACAAGACACTATGGGAACGAAGCAACCAAGAACCTATCACCCAAGAAATATGCAGCAGCAGGAAGTGGAGATGGATTGGATTGGGCATACACTGAGAAGGCCGATTGGGGAGATCACGCGTCAGGCCAGTTGTTCGAGTGGAACGCAGATGGGAAGCGAGGAGTTGGGCGTCGGTGTCGAGGGTGACATGGAGGAGATTGTGCGAGGAGGAAATGAGTGCTTCTAGGCTGTTGTGGAGTCAGGTTCAAGAGTTTGCAGAGAAGAGAGTGGAATGGAGACGTGCTATTGAAGCCCTATGTTCCATTAGGAACCCAAGGGACAAATAATAATAAGGTTAAATCCACATTACTGATACCGATTCTGAGGCATGCCACCTATAGTCTCTAGCCACCGACTTCGATTATCACACAGCTTCAATCGAACAGTCACCATTTCCCTACATGGCTCAGGACAGTAGCTGAAGACTTCATGCACTGATGCCATGCTTTAGTCTAGCTGTTTCTAACGTTTTTCCATGCTAAACCTACTTCTGCTAATATTGTGAGACTAAGGAGACGATGTCTAGGAATGTGCGGTGCACGTCTCAGCCACCAGAGACAACGAAAGTTCACAATCTCATCAACCAACTTACTCTATTCTACCGAAACGTTTCAACTGACTTCTGCATTACGGATATGTGGGACACCTTTTTTATCAGTTGTCATATGGACTTTTGATTTTGATGACTGACTTCTCTCAGCTAGATGGCCTTGTTGTGAATAACATAAACTGACTACCATATTTATTTCTTAGATAAAAACAAAATCTGTTTCTCGTTAGAATAATAATTTCTAGAGGTATTGTAGGGTTTTTATTCTTAGAAAGACGTTGTATTAGTTTTTGAAATAGATTATTTGCCTTCTTTGTGTTAGTAGAATAGTGGTGCAATCAGAAAGTAACAGTACGCTTTTTGTCTTAATTACCTATTTAGTTTGAAGTGCCTTGAGGTGTAGTTAGAACCTTGAAATGCAAATGCACTTAATGGTTTTGAAACACCAATGAACTTTATGTATTGCTCATCTTGTGATAGTCCATTATTAGAGTGTTAACTACTTTCATCTCTTTCTCTAGCATTTGCCATCAAACCCATTTGGCATTTCAGTGGTCAATACATTCAGAATTGCTTAAAAACATCTTGAAGAAGGAATTTTTGGTATGCTCATTTACCTTTAGCTTTAGCTACATGCATATGTTATGCTTTGATTATAGTGGAAAGAAATCTATCATATGAATAGATAAGCAATTAAAATGCTTCTCTTACTGAATGTACAAATAGCTTAGATCACCTTACTAATACTAATACTCTTTAACCTAATAAGTGTGCGATCAAATTAATCATGAACTAACTCTCCTGTAGTCCAACGCTTGAAGACAGAACTAAAGGATAAATCAAATGTTAAAGTTGTGTTTGTGATTTTCTTGATTGTGGTTAATAAAGGATGCACGTTTCGTCCTATTTGGGACTCATCAGCTTGATGTACCTGCACTCCAATGAGTGATGTTGTTTCCACCAGAACTCGAACCTAGTACCCACCATTTAAAACGCCAAAGCTTTACTCAACAGAGGTCAATCAATTCTGTTGAGAGTAAATAACCAACCCTTAATGTAAATGGAATTCAACTGCTTCAAGTTGAATAATACCCCCTCTATAGTATCACATTGAATTTCTTTGGGTAGTGATAGGCGTTTTTTTTAACTCAGTCTGTGCAAATGGTATTGTATTTTGGTTAATCTGTGCAATTCACTTTTCATAAACACACCTTTCGAAATCAGTTTGAGCACTAAATTGTCATGATTAGCGAAGAGCGGAATAATCATTTGTCACAATAATGAATTATCGATTAAATATCTTTAGTCCAATGTAGCTAGAATATGCTTTTCAGTCGTTCAAAGTTCTGTGAAAGGGTAGTCTGTTTGGTTTATTTTACTTAAAGTCAACTAACTTTTGTTCTACAGAATGCGAAAGAAAATTATGCTTTTTAAAGAACATTTAACACTACAAAGTGCTGAATCAGTGTTTTATTCGAATCTCAGACATTTTACTATATATTGGCTATTTAACCTACTCGGTATTGATTTGTTAGAAGCTGTTAAAGCCAGTAGGTTGAATTTGTATAATCATTCCACCAGGTAACCAAATATAGGGTTGTATGAATACTAGTACACACTTGGAGTATCGATTATCTATACACTGACTGGTCATTGAAATGTAATCAGATTCATGTTACTCAGCCCTAACTGCCGACAGAAATCTGTCGGACTCAGGGGCTACATGATTTCTATCGAAGCTGTAGACCTTTCAGATGAGTTCTCTCTCATGAAACCTAAGTTGAAGGCTTTTTTCTGATTAACTCCAACCAGCTGAAACTGCATCACTTGTCTCTTTGGTATGTTACGCAGCTATTCAAAATACCTTATTGAGTAAGCTTTGAAAAATAAAAAGCTTTTATTAACAGTACTGTGAAAATTCCTGTATTGGCAATGTCATGGACAAAAAGGGTCTGAATGAATTAGATTCAATCTAAACGATTGTCTTAGAAAAAAGTGGTTTGTTAAAATGCAATTACGAAATCCATTGGTACGGTTAAGAAATTAATGGGTCGTAAAATACGCTGAAAAGTCATTAACGACTTGAAGGAAAACAGTTAACGTCTTAAGTGACAAAATTACTGTCTTAATTTAGATGAGCTATGGCTTTGCTGTCTGACAACTTTAAAGCTTGATTGATGGCAAAGATTCATGAGTTTTCGTGTATTTTCTTCCTTTTACGTACCATTTATGGTACCTATACCAATTGAACTGTCAAATGAGACAATTTCAGCATTTGACAGTTGATTAACGACTTAAATTTTAGGGTTTTACGAATCATCGGTGTGAATGAAGTCCTGCGTTACGTCAGGGTTCAGTCCAGAGACTGTCAAGGCAAAGAAGGAGTATCCACGTGGCATTCATTCAAATAAGAACTCGGTAAAACAATTGTTGGTCAAATTGAAATTCTAGCCAAGTCCGATGATTGGAAGGCTAATGATCCACATTCGCAGTATCTTCCGTCTTCTTTCAATCCCAGTTAACAACTCTTTACATATTAATCAGTCTATCATCTCAAGTTATATTGATCACAAGGTAAATCTCATTGTCCACCAGTTAATTGGAAAATACATCGATACAGAAATACAAAAGATTACTTTCACTAGTTTTTGGTTGACCTACATATGATGTGAAAACAATCGTTACACAAAATTGCCCTATACCCATAACCGTAAATGGATACTTTATTAGGGGACCGCGTGTCATGATTTGTACCATCAGGCTATGTAAACTGTTAACTTATATATAATTGTAACCATTTTCGCGAAACAGACCAATAACATAGGTTTCTAGGCGTGGTATTAGTCAGCTAATAAGTCCGTTCTTTAGGCTACTTCCTGCAAGTTGTAAATTTATGTTTGTTCTGTATCGCAAGTGACTTCAGAAATGAATTCTGACTGAGAATGATCCACCTCAGTTTGTTAACATCTATTCAGTGATTCGAAAGTAATTAGTAACCAAAAAAGTGAAAAGCTACCAAATACCACTGTTTTCCTCATTTTCCATAATAATATATCCTTGCAATAAATCCACACCAGTAATATGAGAGAGAAAAGTACCACTTT